TTTCTAATCATCTGCCAATGACAATGACAATGACCCTCCGAAGCTTCCCGACCCAACTCCAACTCCCTTAATCCCAGAATGAAGTTTGCTGTTTGCTGACCAAAGCAGCTACTGGGTGGAGGAAGGCAAGGCTGAGCGCCTGTTCTGCTGTTGATATATTGGACCATTTTTGGGTTTATCAAATGCCATCATCTAATTTTCATTAACTTGTTTACTCGGATACAATAAATCTTTTTTGGTGGCCAAACTCTACTCTGGAGGGTCCTTGAACTCAAATGCGAACAAAGTCTGGCCGTGTCGTCTCTCTATCAAACAACAAAAAAAGAAAACTGCGAAATTAAGATGCGTTTTAGCTTTTAGTTGGAGGTTTTTGATGGATTTTTTAAACATTTTAAACAGCTCTTATTGATGTTTAGTCTAAGAACCATGCGACTTTCTGTTCAAGAAATTGTTTTTAGTATAGACAAATATTTACCATTGGCACAATCCATTGCATAACTCACTAAACGAAATATTTAGCGATTTATCAATTAGTTTATCTTTGAATGCACTGAAAGAGCGGCTCTCAATAGTCGCCTGCTTAATGTTTTCTCATTTATTTAAGTCTTAAGAATTTCTCCGAACTCTACCGATCGATTCATTGACAAATAATGCTGCGCCCCCCCTTTCGAATGATATTGATTAAGAGCGACGATTCCTGGCCAGAACCCAAACGAAAAGGAAGATGCAAGAATTGGAAGAGATTACGGCACGCTTTTGAAATGACCGCCGGTCAAGGGAGTAGGATAGGAGAAGTTCCAAGAAGGGAGTTTCGAGTTGCAGTTGCTGCGATCCTCTAGAGAAAGAGACACAGAGATTCCCACCGAATAAACAATAAAGAATAAAGGATATGCCACATGATGATTCCAAGGTTCTGGTCTGCTCTGATTCTTATTCGGGGCAGTGGCAGTCACTCCGGGGACAGGGCGTTAATGTGCGAAGTGCGTCTGAATGGATTTCATCAGAAATGTTTTTGTTTTTTTTTTTTTGGGTTGCTCTGCTCGAAGCTGTATCTGTATCTGTATCTGAATCGCTGTCTGTGCATTTATCTGTGAGAGTTCTGCCTGTCTGCCTGTGTATCTGTGTATCTGTATCTATTGTAGGTAGACGAATCTTTAGGAGCTTCAAGGCAGAGGCTGTGCCCGGCATTAGGATAAAAGGTAAATCACCTTTTGTTTTCGCTATGCCCTCGAAATTCGAGTTCATTGTCAAGTTCAACGGAGAGGCCATCGTCTGGCCCTCAAATCGTTTTGCGTATCTATGTGTGTGTGTATCTCTCTCTCTATGTGTGTGTGCGCTGCGCTTGCGTCAAATTGTTGTGCTGCTCCTTCTTGCTCCCCGAAAAGTCTCCTCCTCCTGCGTTCGTTGTCTTCTGTGCTTCTGCAGTTCAAGTGTGGCCTGGCCCTGGCTGTGTGTCTGCGGCTCCGCTTTGGGTTTTTGTTTTGGTCTTTGGGTTCTCAGGTCCATCTTCGGTCGCTAGTGGCTCTTCTGGTCTCTGGCCGCCAAAAAATAAAGGATTCTGCTCCATAAAACAAAAAGCTATTCGGAAAGTGACATTTATGTGTTTTTAATTCCTTTCACGGTGTATGTGTTTTTGCAGTGGGATTGCAGGATCCCATTTTATGCCGTTTCTATGGAATTTTGAGGCTTTCGGGGGCAACCTTTTACCTTGCAGCAGATCATTGAACTGCAGATAGAGCAAAGACACTGCCAGAATGGGCAGACAAGGAGTTAAACCGAAGGGAAAAGAGAGGATATATATACAGAGGCGAGCAGAATCGCTCAAGTATGAATCTCAAATGATGTTGAAAGCTCTTAGAAACTATAAAAATGAATTTAGGGAATTTATTTAAGAGCTTAAACTTGAAGAACACACAAAAAATTGCATCAAAAAATTGCAAAATTATGGGTTTCTATTTGCCGTTTGCAATCTCCCAATTTATGATAATTCTTTCAAGAGGATGCAGCTGAAATCTCTCTATTAGATACTCTCTCCCCCCAAGTGGAACCCAATTAAAACACCAAACTTGCAGGTTCTTTGATCTACCCTCCACAACCCTCTTCGATCCACCGATCTGCCAATCTGTGGCACCATATTAATGGTTGGCAATTAAGTGGAGCAACTTCATTTGGCAGAACACAACAGAGAACAAGAACAGAGATCGAAATCGAAAAGAGCAGAGAAGGAGCAGGGGGAGTGGGGAATATACTACCGAAGAACAGTTCCAATTTGTGGTGGACCCCCGAAGGATATTTAAAGCGATAATCACACACAAACACACATGAGGAGGAGTTGGGATGCCCCAGAGGGCAATCACCTGAACATAAACCCTGAGAAAAGGGGATTTTGGAGATTGGGCAATGCAATGCAGTATAATGGCGTGAGTGTGGGGAGAAGGGATTCGGGGGGCCAACACAAAAAAAGAGCCACAAAAATTATAACGAGCTTTAAAAACGGTTTTCAGTTGCTTTCCTTCTGGGTGTTCAAACAGAAAGAACCGCGCAAAAGAACGATGAAGCCTGATGCCTGCCTGCCTCCTCCTTTTGCCACTCTCTGTCCTCTTAAGATGGAGCGCAATTCCTACTCCTTCCACCTGCAGACGAGTGATGGGAGTAGGAGACTCCTTTTTGGAGGAACGGAGCGCAGCGCTAAAGTGGCCATAAAAATCATAATGAAGCGGCGACTAAAACAAAATGCCATAAAATGCTTTAAATGAGAACGCAACACAATAAAAAGGCAAAGGAAAAGGGGCAACAGAAAAGACCAGAGCAACAGCACAGAGAGTGGGAGGAGACAAGAGAGAGCAAGAGAGAAAGAGAGAGATGTCCTTCTTGGAATTCCTCCTCCAACGGCGGCCGCGGCGGCGGCGACTCCTCAAAGCTGAATCGAATTTCTGTCTCAAGGAGTGAGAAAACCAAGGAATTCATTCAACAGTTTGTAATCGAAATGGACAGAGAAACGATATAGGGAGAGAGAGCTATAGGCAGACAGAAAGAGGCAGCAGGAGAACTTGCATTCAATGACCTGTAGAATAGGTAGAAGAACGAGTCATAAAAACGAAAGGAATTTCGCAATTTGTTTGTGTTGTTTTGAGTTCTCTTTCTTCTCTTTTGGTGGCGTTTAAATGGCGTCAAGCCTGGAGATCTCACCGAATGGTTTACGATCTGTTGTTGGGGATTGTGTGGCAGAAGTTTGTTGAGGAATTTCTGCTGCTTAATGAATCGAAGAGCAGCAAAAAGAGGAACGTTTTTGGGGAATGCAATAACGATGTTAGAAATGTTTTTTGCTATTACAGTTATTTCAATGCTAGCTTAAACAGATATAATTATGTAGTTCTTCTTCCAAAGTTTTTCATCAGTTTCTGCAAAAATTTCTCTTCATATTTTTGTTCAGGGTTCTCCGACTTATGACCCACAAAGACGATTTCTCCATTAGTTTTTTCCCGCCTTGAATGTGTTCAACACACATATTTCCAGCTTTCATGTTGAGCAATTTTTAAAGCACTTTTTTTTATGATTCTCTTGGCCTAACAGATTTTTTTATGGTCGCGATCGTAAAGTTTTTAATTTCCAAAATTCCTCGCAAGTTCCACTGGTTTCTGTAATTTTTGTATTTTTTTTTTTTGTGTGTGGAGGGTGCACCACTCGTAATTGGCATTTATAACGTTAGCATTTAAAATGTTTTGGCTTTGGCCCTTGACCCACTATCCCCTTAACCCTTCATTGAGCAGTCGACACCCTCCCCGTGCCCCTGTCCCTAATGTAATGAGGTGCAGTGGATGAATTACACTCAATTAAACAATTTAATTTTGATATCATTGTTGTCTTTTTGTTTTTTACGATATAAAACTTGGGAGAGCCAAACGCTGCTTTGTATAGTTTCAATTTTATTGGCCATCAAAATGGTTTTTTTTTTGGGGACAGCACTACATCAAAGTACAGTGCGTTTCGGATGTGTTTAACAGCTGTTGACATAGTTTTTGATGTTGTTTAATTAGCTAGAAATTCTCTAAGATTGCCAACTGATTTTCATCTCAAAAATTCCCCAAAAAGCAACTCCTATAGCCATGTACGGTACTGTATCTGCTAAGCATTTCATTTCATTTAGAGCAAATATCATCATAATAAGACAAGACCTAATTGAAAGACTCAAAGACGCCAGCGGTGGGGTATGGGGCGTGTCTGTTAGGGGGCTGTGTTGCCTGTTTAAAATGCCATTAAGGAATGGTGGGGAGTGAAGAGGAGAGAGACGTGAGGGACAGATGCGAGTGATGGGAGCCTGCAGCTGCAGCCCCAAAAATCCAATTCAATTCAATTCAATTCACTCTATCTCTGTCTCCCTCTCTCTCTGTGTGTGTGGGTTACTGTCAGAGTCTCTTGGCGCCCAGCGACTCACTCAACTGTTTAACGGAGCCACACGCAAATGCAAATATTACCATAATTATCGCACGTGCCCCACAGACCATGACTAAAGCAATCGCGCCGCGTCCATCTCAGACAATCAGTATAGTTGTTGCCCCTTTTGCTGCAAGTCCACTCCATGCTGCCACTCGTCGTGGGGCGACTACTCTCTCTCTCTCTCTCTCTCTCTTCTCTGCTTTTACGAGACCCAGACACACGACGAGGCATGCAATCGAAATCTATTTACCATGCAGCAGCAGTTGGAGGAGGAGGAGGAGAAAAAGGCCAGCCCCCGAGTGAAGAAAGCGACTCATTACAGGTTGCCGCTGCTGTCGCTGTTGCATTTTAGGGTTATACTCTAACATCTTCAATAGGGCATGTTTGGTGGCAGATTAAGTTCGATTAGGGGCAGAATCATCTCAGTTTTCGTGGCAATTTTGGGAAGATTTGGGAAATATTGGAAAGAATGTAAAGGGTTACTCAAGGTTTAACATTCCTTAAAATATCTTTCACAAGTTCTGAACTATTTCTCAATATATTTCCTTTCTTTTTGGTTCCAGATATCATTAAATAGGATGCCAAGCAATATCCTAAAAGGTAAGTCGTCACTCCATGATTATTATTTTGTTGATTTCAAAGAATTTTCCATATGTTTTCGAATCCCTAAAGATCTACCAATCACTTCAATACATTTTAAGCAACTACTTTTGATTATTCTCTGTTTTTATTGCCACCTTTTTATGTACTTCTCCATCTTTATGTTAGGGTATATAACATTCTTTAGCTTTCATTTCAAAACAACAATTATTGGACTCTTTTTGCGGTAGTTTTGCGCTTGTTTTGGTTACATGCCACACGGCAATGGCAATTTATACCCCATATATGCCGCAGCCCTTTGCTACCTTCAATATCTCTTCGTTCAGCATTCGGCAGCAACTGGCCCTAATAAAAGTCACTTGATTGGAACTGCAAGTGGCTGCAACGCGACAACAAGCTGCCAGGGGGCAACAGCGGCAACGTTTTATTGGTTTATTATGGCGACGCTTTGCCTTCGAGAACGCTGGGGGAGGTCAAGAGTTGGGCGGGGGGGAGCACATTTCAAGAGAAGCCCACAAAAAAACGAACAGACGTCGCACCTGTCGTTGAGTAGAGACCCTGCAGCAAAAGGAGGGCCTCCTTGTCCGACTGCCTACTCCTCCTTCTTTACTCGTGTATTTTTGTGTTTTTTTTTGGCCAGCAAAGCAATCAAATTTTATGGCCTTGTTGGCCTGGCCAAAACATAATAGAGAGATCACACAGCGCAGCGCCGAGCCGCGCAGGGGCGCCGTCGCATCTCTCGTCCTCTCGCTCAACACTCAATCAAAGCAATGCAGCAAAAGGCTCAGGATCTAGAGGTGACACTCGGAAAGGCCACCCCAGCTCGTGCCACGACAATCCTTTCCTCTAATATCACGCTACCATCTCGATGGGCGACCTCATAAGTCAAAGGAATGCCACGCCATCGTTAGCCTCCAATTGGCGGCGGACTGCTGCAGTCAGTCGCTTGGCTTAAGTGCCACACAGCAGCAGTGGCAGCATCAGCAGCAGCATCAGCAGCAGCAGAGGGAGGAGGCATGCCACACAGCCTCGTTTCAGATATCTGAGTGCTCGCATCTAACTGTCGCATGAATTATGGCTCAAAACTCATACTCAAACTCATTTTTACGAGTATATTCATTCTCATACGAGTCCCTCCCTAACCCCACGTTCCTGGCTTCGGCTTTTGTCCACTCTTTTGGCCACAAGCCGCCTTCTGCCTCTTTCTGAGGCTATTGCTGCGGCTCTGATGCTGTCGTTGATTCTCTGATTCTGTTGCCTGCTAATTTTATGGCCTCGTAAAAACATTAAAAATTACAAAAATAAAACGTATTTCGCGGCAGATGCAGATATCATCCGAACGAATGTCCATTTCTCTCTCTCTCTCTCTCTGTGCAACATTGTGTGGCAATTTAGCAAATGTCTTTCTCTCTCTCTCTCTCTGCCAATGACATTTACGAGTGAGAGGGACCAGACGGCAGGTGGTTCTCGTTCTCGTACCCAGCAGATCGGTCGAAAGATATAGCCGCCGATTCGAGTTGGATTCCCCGTCGTTTTATTGCCCTGGAATTGAGTTAAGGAAGTTCTTGATAATTGACTTGTTCCAGGGAAATGTGGGAATTGGGCAGGGAAAACCCGAAGGAAACTCGTATGGGAAATGTAAGCAAATTAAGAACAAATCACAAAACGGAAGGTAAATTGAGGAAATAAATATGTTTGTGGCGGAAATAAATGAAATCTTTAGAGGAAATATATTTGATGTCCTCTTTTTGATGGTTCTTGGATTTTTTAAAGAGTTTTTCATTCCCCATCTTCCCCATCTTCCCCATAAATCCAACATATTTTGAGACACTTTGCCGCAGAGATATCCATCCATTATCCCGAAATATTTCACATTTTCCCCATTTCCATCACATTTTCCACTTCATTTGCGTATGGAAATAAAAAACAAATGATGCAAAGATGCAATAAATATAAAAATTTGATAACAAATAAAACAACAAATTTGGAAAAACACTCAACCCTCGAAAGGGAGGGATATTCCTCAAAACAAAAGCAAAAAAAGAAGGAAAAAACTTTCACTGTTAATTCTAAGGGGGTGGGGCAGCAAATATTCATTCAATTTGCGTTTTCTTTTGCGGGGGGTGGAGTAGGATTTTGTACTTTTACGATTACACGGAATTCGGGTGTACAGTTTTCCTTCGCTCTGTGGAAAACAATGGAACTTTGAGGGGACATTCGGGGCGCACGCAATTGACTATCAAAAATATTTCTTATTTTTTATGGTTTTCCCTCGGTTTTCCTGTGTTTTTTTTTTTTTTTGGGTTGGGTTGGAAGGGCTGGGCTAATGGCAACTTCTGGAGTGACATAAAATCCCATTTTATAATGTATATAAAGTTTTAATACACCCCAAAATACCACCCCACCACCCTCGGTCTCGAGTGACGGGAATGGGAGTGGGGAAATGTCAAGCGAAATGTGGCAGGGGTAAATTTTATGCATACACTTTGATAGAATTTTTAGTAGAGCATCAAATTTTATGCTCCACCAAAAAAGAGGCAGAACAGCCACAGCAACAACAACAAGAACAAGGAGAAGTAGTGCTTAAAATTGTTCTTTCTGCCGCAGCCCCAGGAGAAGAAGACGGCGGAGAAGGAGAAACACAATCACTTCCTGTCAAAGGAGTAAGTACTCTGCCTGCAGCATTTCTTTTTTGTAGAAGATTCCTCCTGCCTATAGTTTCTGAGAGAGTCCTCCTTCCTTTCTATTTCTTTGAATATAATACTTCCATTCTAGAGTGAAAAATCTCCTTGTTGGCATTTTTTGATGGCAATTAAAATTAAGGTGGAATTTTCGTTACCCCTTGGAGCACCGGAAATTGGTAAAGGGGCGGCAGAAGTTGTCTTTCTCTCTCTTTGGAACTTGCAACTTGAGCACTAAATTGCTGGTAAAGTGTGGGGCATAAACAAAAGTATTTTTCCATTCGGAAACGGGATATCTACAATTTCGTCTACGAAGTCCAAGCGCACAGCTGAGGCAGTCTTTACCTTTAACCTCCCACACTCCTCAAATATTTCCAGGAAACATTTCACAATAGCAACAAAAAGAACACACTTTGGTGGGGTGGGGTCTGGTGGGGAGAGGGAAGGGCTCCTCTCCGGATGCTCATAACATTTGTGGAAGTCTATTAGCAAAAACGAAAGTCAAACAAACTTCGCATCTAATCACTTGGACAAGAGGACACACACAGGACGCAGAACACAGAAAACACAGGGATATGAAGCAAGACAGTGGGACAAAGATTAAAGGAAATGGATCAAAAGGGTTGGGGAAAAGAGTTTTTTAAATTTTTAACTGCAATTCAAAGCTTCAACTTCCCCAAGAGTTGGGAAAGCGGCAAATGGTATCACCGTCATAGGGTAATATCTTCTGAAAATCTTCTCCAGTATATCCCGAAAATGTCTCACAATTAAACTTATTCAAGAGGTTATCCATGAAAGCATTCTTGCACCACTTTCTTTACCTCCTTGCCCCACTGTGCCACGAAGAGAATTTTAGCGCCCCATTGAGGGAAATGGAAATGGAGGAAAATGCTTGGACGACAGGATATGAGCGTTGGCATTAGCATTAGCATTGACACTAATATGAAATGGGGTGGGAGGATGTTTTTAGTGGATGGGCAACACATGCCACATGCTACAGGCTACAGGCGGCTTTAATGGCGCGTCAGCACACACACACACCCCTGCGAGACAGAAGGGTTATTAATAAATTAATTTTTATGGGTGGAAAGAGGGGCTCTGCAGTCAAGAATAGAACCAAATTGCCATGACATTCAATATATTTCAAATTGCCGCAGCACTCCCCCAAACAGGACATCCCTTGCACTTCTTCAAGATGGAAAGCTATATAATATTCCATTGCGGATACGTCTACGTTGTATTTTGAAATTTTAATAAACATTAACTGGCCTTTTTGGCTAATTTTGTGGGTGTCCCTCCCGTTCCAGTCCTTTTGGGCTATTTATGGAATGAATGTTTTGCCATAAAACGTCGGAAAGTGAAAGTAAAAGGATTATTTTTAAGCCGAGTCATCAGGATTCTGAGGAGTTTCGGCCAGAAATGAAGAGCATGACACCACAGAGAGGCCGGTTTGGGGGAGCTTTGAACAAGAAAAAAAAGAGATATTTATGAATATTGTTCGAAGACAGGCAATGGTAAGGCTCTCCTGATATGATATGATATGACTGTATCAAAATACAAATCTGTAGCAAAATATATAGAAAGATTTGCTAAATGAAGTAAGATACAATTAAGACCTGAAACCTTTTATCCTCCTTCCATCTGCCTATTCTAAATACTGGAAACTGTTGGACAATTATTGCCAGAAAATCAGGAACCAAGCAATGCCAAAAGAGAAGTCTATGATGAGGTGAACAGAGGGGGATTGTCGGTGTGGAGAAGTCATTGAACCTGTTAAATGGTCGCGAGGGTTAATTAAAATTCGACAATGATAAATACAGAAGATACATTAATAAGGCGACAGGCAGGCGATAAAAATAGTGGAATGGATAGACACTTCAAAGCAAAAACAACAAAAAGGTAAACCCTGTAAGCTACTCTCTCTCGAATGGATGTACCCTGGAATTTAAGGAGCTTTTGGGTCACATTTTGTGGAAATAATTGAGTAGCAGCTCTTATATTGTGGCTTGAAGATCAAAAAAGCGTTCTATGAAACAGGCTCTGCTTTAAAGCGGAATGAATCCAGCCATTCCTCTTCCCAGTTCCCAGCACAGGGTATCTTTTAGTCCCCATCTGGGTCTTCTTTCTTACCTGTTTTTTGTTTCTATTTATCTGTTTATTTTTTAAGTGTTTGGCTTCAACACTTGGCTTGTCTTTTAGCTCCACTTCGCCACTTTAATGCCCTCGCAAAAGAGGCTTCATTCAGTTTCGGTCATTTGAAGTTTATTACCCGCGCACGTGTGAACCAAAAATACCAAAACGTACGAAAAGCAAATGTTT